TTTTTTTTTTTTTTTTTTTTTGCGGTGCTGGGGATTAAACCCAGGGGCACTCTAACACTGAGTTACAACCCAGCCCTCTTAAATTTAGTTTTGAGTTCAACACAAGGTGTCACTAAGTTACCCAGGTGGGACTTGAACTTGCAATCCTGCCTCAATTTCCCTAAACTCTGGGATTACAGTCATGTGCCAGCGTATCTGGCTTAAATCTGCATACGTGAACTGCGATGTAAACGTCATTACTCGTTAGGGTGCAGATGAAAGCAGTGAGTAGCTGCTCATAGAGAACTACTGTACCCTGAGGAGGAGAGGCAGTACAGAGATAGCTGACTAGATTTGGGGACAGCACTGAGCAGACTGTTTCCACAGCAGCCTCCAACTGCCCTGCAAGCAAAAATGGCTGGGATCCAGTGCTTTGGAATTAGGTCAGGAAGAAGGGAGGAAACACACAGGTAAGGTTTGTTTTCTTCTCTTGGGCTTTTCTTTCCGACCACTCTTTCCCACGTAGAGGCAAAGGAAAACATCCCAGGGAAAGCAGTGAGTGGAATCCCTCCAGATTTGGAAAAATATGCAACATAGAAAATTGAAAAAAAATATCTCCAGCATGAAAACACATGCTGGAATTACAAGTCAGGAGTGCAGAACGTTCTGGACGTACTGCTATACAGTTTGAGGTTAAAGAATGAATGAAGGTTCATGGTGGAGAAGGCGATGAAACAGCAGATTTTGGAGAAAGAATTCTAGCTCCTTTGGAAAACCCCATTTCTGCAACTTCTTGTAACTCACAATGAGTGACAGTCTGTCAGAGCCGGGAGGGGGCTCAGAGATGATTTAATCGATCCATTTTACAGATGAGAAAACTGAAGCTCAAACAGGGTGATCAGCTCAAGGGGCAACGGTTAACTGGAAGCAGAAATAGGCACAGGTTGCAGGTGCACATTTCTAATCAGTTTATATCTTATGCGGTTTTGAGGATGCGAAGTTAAAAAACTAGGAAAACTGTATGATGGCTCTGAAGACAAACTACTTTCCTAATAACTAACACGCTGCTTGCCTTTTCATTCCCAGTCTCTCTCCCATGTGTACAATGGTTTCCAGAGGCGAAGTGATGCGTCTTATTGTAAAGACGGGTGCAGAAACAGATATGAGAATCCAGCTTCTTTTAGGAAGCTAGATGTTAGAGATTCTAAAAAATGTAAACCTATGCTGCTCTTCTTGCTATATTTAATTGTGATTTGGAAAATTACAGTTATATTCATTAAAATGTTATTTAAATTAATATAATAGCTATTATTTAAATGAGTTCATAAGCATTTTAAAAATTTCTCAGTCTTAATTTTGAAGACATAACCCACGTGGACAAATTGCTGCTTGGGCCAATGACACATGCTGCGTGGGAGGCGGAAGGACTGTGAGTTTAAGGGCAGCATGGGCAACACAGTAAGATTCTGCTTCAGAAGGAAAAGAAAGTAATAAAAGCTCTTTGAGATCTTGAAAAAATTCTGAGGATATTTGGGGTCCTGAGATCCACAGGTTTGAGAACTGCTGCACCAGGTCATTAAAATATAAGCTAGAGAGGAAGCTATTAGAAGTGCATTTTTTCAGTCCAAGGTGCCAGAGATGGAATCTAGGCCTTCAAGCATGCTAGGCAAGTGCTCTACCCCTGAGCTCTATCCTTAGCCCAAAAGGTAGAATTTTATAAAAAATACTCTGAGCACAACACCCCCTACTCCTTTTCCTTCGCTGACCCATCTCGCACCTTCAGAAGGAGCAGGAGGCCACTGAGATGGAGGTGAGATGGCATCAGTGGCCGGCAGCAGCACTGAGTGCTTCCTGGGCTCTGGTCTAGACTGAGGGCACGTGCAGCTGCACTTGAGTTTCCTCTGCCATGTACTAGTTCTGAGAACTGGCCACACGAAGCCTCAGTTTCTTTATCTGTATGAATGAAGGTGCATACAACGTCTACCTCCATGAATGACCGAATGCAGGACAGACAAGGGCTGGTCCTGTGCTTGGCACATGTATGGTAGGGGCTCAGTGGGATCATTCTTTTTTTTGTTTTTCATTCATGTTATTATTATCCAAACTCCTGAGCTCTTTCAACAGAGCCAAACCATGTCCTCACAGTCCATATTGGAGTTAAAAAAAGTCAACGTGTACTAATTCAAAATCATCTACATACGTTTTTTTCCTTTATATTTTCTTGCCTTATCACTTTGTTGGATCTCAGGCAAGTTGCTTGACTTCCCTGGGTCTAATTTACATAGGATAAGGGCAGCGTAATTCCTAATCCAGGCAGAACAGTTCAGCAACTAGTGTGGGTTGGGGTCAGTGCCTGCTGGTTTGAGACCCAGCTCTTACTATCTCGGCATAGTGGGGGCTGACGGCGTGATTGTGATTGCCGCAGTTTCGCTGTCTGTAAAACAGCTTGTGACTGCATCTACCTCAGCAGGTTGCAGTTAGGACGAAACAAGTTAGTATACAGAAATATTAATATATATAAAGTATTTAGGACATTGGCAGGCAATCAGAAACTCACAAATGCCCCAGAACTTCTTGTTATTAGCTACAAAGTAGGAGTAGACTTTTCCGCCAAGCTTGGTGAGAAATAGTCTACTGCTTATTACTGTCTCCATGGCCTGTCCACTCTCTTCTCTTTTCTTCTCCTCCTTCTTTTATGGTGCTGGGAATTGAACTCAGGGCCTTCACACTGAATTATCTCCCCAGCCCCTTTTTCATTTTCATTTTAATTATTTATTTTTGGTACAGGGGATCAAACTCAGGACCTTGCACTTGCGAGGCAGGCGGCGGCACCACTGAGCTAAATCCCCAGCCCTATTTTATTTATTTTTTATTTTGATACAGGATCTTGCTAACTCAGGCTGGGCTTGAATTTGTGACTCTCCTGCTCCAGCCTCCCAAAGTGCTGGGATTACAGGCACACGCCATCTCTCTCTTTTCTTTCTTCCCCTCCCTCACTTTTAAACCACAATAAATTGTGCAGGAAGACTGAGCAGATGACCAGCAGCCAGCTGGCACCACCAACACCTCTTTCGGTCAGCAACTCATGCACGATTCGTTTTATTTCTAGGTGGTCCTCCCGTGCTTGCAGGACAGCTAACAAACACTGTGGCTTCTCCCTTGGCTTCTGAGGTGAGCACTATCCTCTGAAATGCTCAGATTTTCAGTGTCAAAGAAGTAAAGACAGATAAGAAAGCAATGAAATGAGAAACGAAGAAAACCAAATAAATGGCACTATTTTTTTAAACAAATAAAATTGTTAATACAGAGGAGGGAAAAGCAGACAACAAACCAGGAAGTGACGTTAACCAAGCCATTTACCACCTTGTAACCTCCCATTGTACCTGGGAGGGCCGTCCCTTCCCAGCTGGTGAAAGCCTTGTTTTGTACCGACACAAAAGTGGCAAGAACCTTTATCTAAAGACGGCGGGACTTCACTTGGACTCTTTCTGAAACGCGTTTATGATTTCCATTTTGAGATGAACTCAGATTATCATGAGATCAAACAACAACATCAACAACAAATAACAAAAACCAAAACGGTTTAATATTTTCCTATTTAATTCCCTATTTGCTTGGCTATGTGTGTGGGTGGGTGGCATCAACTTTTCTGTAGGAATTTTGCAATATGCAATGAACTTACTTTTTAAATGCAAGCAGAAGCGCAAAGTGGAAAAATTCTGTTTAGTAAACAACCAGGATATTTAGGGGTTAAGAAAACATTTTTTCACAGTGGGCGACCTGCTACTTTATACAGGGTGAAAAAAGAAAAGAAAGCCTTTGTGAAAAGCAGATGCTTTGGGCTGAGGCATGAAGGAAGTGAAGGCGAAACACTGGCTGGCTCTGGGAAAGAGGATGGTCAGGAACAGCAAACACCAAGGCCCTGCGGAAGAATGGTGCTTGGTCTGGGGAGGAACCCCAAAGAGGCTTGAATACAGTAGCATCAACAAGAGGACAAAGGGAGGAGGGTCATAGAGGCACCGGAGACCAGACTAGGGAGGGCTTTGACGACTCTGGGCTCACTTCAGGTGAGCTGAGAAGACTATAGAGGGCTTTGAGCTCCATGGTAACATTTTAGGGGTCTGACGTCTTGCAGCAAACACTTCAGAAAATACAGTGCCAGCCTGTGGGATAGAGAGACACAGGATGCAAGCAGCTCAAGGACCCGGCGGGGTGCGGGGGTGCTGCTATGAGACCCACGCCAGTGTTGTGGGTTCCCAAGGCTGTGCTGCTGGTTCACCACAGCGATGGACAGTATTAGCTCAGCTGTAACAAAACGTACACTTGCCCTACTTCCCATGACTTTGTGCAGTGGCTGAGGATGTGGGGTACGAGTGTGAACTGTACTTTGCAGGGGAAATACTCAGTCTCCTTTAGTGCCCTCTAGCCTGTCAAAGTATCTTCTTCCCACCCAGTTAAGGCAGTGTAGATGATCTGACAGGCACCAGTCACTAATCAGAGCACCCTGTGAGGCAGGCAGGGGACACAGCCAGAGACGATCTGCCCATATCACACAGCCTGATGGTGATAACCAGTGAGGCAGTCAACATTCACTGGTGCTGAATTCAGGTTCTTCCAACAACCCAGTCCTGCATCTCCTGGGCTTAGCAAGGAGGCAGGTGTTAGAGTGTGGATCTAGAAGAGGTGGGTCTTTCGGAAGGTGAGCGGATCTGAGGGTTCTAAAGCTGACTTACTGTTAGGATGGGGCTCTGGTCATAAGACACGGCACGGGGGACTGGACCTGGTAGGGCATATCTCCCTCCCTACTTTTCTTTTTGCGTTTCCTGTCCACCATGATGTGAGCAGTACTCCTCCACAGAAGGCCCTGCCACCATGCTGTTTGTGTGTGTGTGAACGCGCTGGAACTTCTGAAGCTGTGAGCCCAAATAAACTTCCCTTTTTCTAAGTTGTAGCATCAGGAGTTATGTCCTAGCCATGAAGAAGATCCATACACAAGGACACAAGGGCACAGGGAGTCAAAGGAAGAAGCTACTTTGCTGGGAATGCCATCAGGGAGCCCCACCTTCCCGTGCCGAGGGGCTCCATTCCCTGGTGGATTGTGGTGATGAAGCGCTGACCTACATAGCCTTTTGTGAGGGTCCAAAAGGAGCTGTGGGGAAGCACTGCTTGGGAAGAGATACACCCTTTGCGGCAGGGACGGGTGCCATTATTTCTTTTAAAACCCAAGCGTGCCTGGTTTTATAGAACTTGTTTTTGTGCACGCCATGGCCTGGATCCATTTCTAAATCAGACAGGGAGGGGATGAAACTAAAATCAGTGACTTACTAAATAGACGTCCAGCACAGATGCACTGTCATCCTGTACTTCCACAGCGGTGGGCCCGGCAGTCAGGTAGATGGTCCCCTCTTCCAGGGTGAAGGTCGAACTCGAAGGTAGCCCTTTACTGAGAGAGAAAGGCAGACCGTGAGCACGTGTGGCCTTCGGAGCAAACCCAAGGACACCTCCGAGGTTGGGCCTGAGGGGTTGAGGTGCGTGGCTTTTGGGGATGAAACATTTATTTGGGAGTCACACCTGGAGACACCGTCATTCAAGTTTCAAAGACTGGTGGCACAGTTTCGCTCTCATGACCTGGCGTATTTTTGAGAGGTGATTTGTGGGTCCTGTGCCTTGAGAGTGGCTGCTGTGACCTGGACGCCTCCCGGCTGTGTTTTACTGTGGGGAGCTGGTTCTCATTGCTTCCATTCTCCTCTTGTCTATTCGCAGCTTGCTAGTTTACAGAATTTAACCTTGTGTGTCCTTCCTTTCTGTTTGGTATTTCCTATTTCTCTTACTGTTTTTTTTTTTCCTTTTTTGGCAAAAGGTTCAATCCAATCAGTAGTTCTCAAGCTTGAGGGTGCATGAGAAGCTCCCAGAGGGCGGTCACCGTGTCCTTTCCTGGGCCTTTGCACTGGAGATTCTCTTTCTGAGGCCGGTGAACCTGCATTTCGGCTGAGGCCCGTGCTGCGTCCCAGCATCACACCCACAGTAAGAAAGACGTACAGATACTCAGAGCATTGCCCTGGATGGCCTGTGAGGACAGCCTGCCTGGACCCTTCCTAACAACGCTGCCTAAGCCGTGTCGACAGACAGCCGGCCTGAGTCACCGGGGCAGAAAGCACTTTGTTTTGCTGTAGTACGATAACCTGTGCGAACGGCTGAAAGAATTGGTTCATTTTGATAGCATTTAATTGGATACTAATAAAGGAGTTCAGAGACATACATTTTCCCCTAAAGACATACAATTAGTTATGTTTTTTAATGGAGATTCCTTAAAAAACTAAAACTAGAAATTCCATTTGACGAAGCTAGTCCCCTTCCAGGTATCTTCTTGACAGAGATCAAGACGTCATGTTATAGTGATACAGGCATACTCAAGTTTTTTTTCCAGCTTTAACTGAGTTTATTGGTACATTCTACGTATACAGTACGATTACATTCATTGTTGGGATCTTGTACCTCTACATGACAGGTCTTGGTTCTCATTTTTTCCCCTTACCCCTGCCCTCCCTTCACCCCCTCCTCCCTTCCCCATCTACAAACACTTTATTTCCATCTTTTCATTATCTCACATTTTTTTCTTTTCCCTTATTACCCTTCCTCTACCCGTCCCACCTTCCCTACACCTTTAGTTCCTTTCTTCCCATTTCTCAATGTCAGTAATCTTATTAGGATCTTCTGTATTATTGTAGATTATGCACACCAGAGAAACTATTCGGTATTTACACATGTGTGCTCTATTTATTTCACTTAGGAGTATATCTTCAATATGTATCCATTTTCCTATGAATGAATCTATTTTCTCATTCTTTATGGCTAATATTCCATTTTATAGAAAAACCACATCTTCTTTATCCAGTTTCCAACTGATGGGCAAATGGGCTGTTTCCAAGTTTTAGCTATTACACACTGTGCCACTATAAACATGGGTGCGCATACCTCACTGTGATATGATTCTTTTAGTTCTTTTGGAAAGATACCCAGCAGAGGGATGGCTGGGTCAAATGGCACCTCCAGTCCAAGCTCTTTGAGGTCTCTCCCTCTTGCTTTGCCCAGTGGTTGCCCCCCTCTGCCCTCCCACCAACAATGGAGAAGGGTTCCTTTCTCCCCACATCCCCGCCAACATTTGTTATTGTGTGATTTCTTGATAGCAGCCATTCTTTGTGGGGTGAGGTGGAATCTCAGTGTTGTTTTCATCTGCATCTCTCAAATGACCAGTGATGTGGAACATTTTTTCATGTATCTACTTGCAGGCATACTCGTTTATAGCAGCTCAATTCATAATAGCTAAGTCTTGGAAGGGGCCTATCTGTCCATCAACAGACGAGTGGATAAAGACTATGTGGTTTTCATAGACAATGGAATACTATTCTGCAAGGAAGAAGGAAAAATAAATGAGTCATTTTCTGTAGGAAAATGGATGCATTTTGAGACCAAATGTTAAGTGAAATAAATGAGACACACAAGTTTAAATACATAGGAGGAAACCCCAAGTATAAATAAAGGGCAAAATAAAAGACAGGTAATAGGAAACAGGGAGATAAACCTTTTGCTAATGGGAAGGGGGCCAAGAGATGCAGGGAGAGGAGGAGAGGGGAAAGTAAAAAGAACTAAGATGTGTTAAGTACATGTACCAACTCCCCACAACGACTGTGATCATTGTGTATGGCTAACATGTGCTACTACAAATAAAAACTAAAACATCCGTTCTTTCAAATGTGCGTTTCAAATCGGGGAGGTTTTGCAAGAATAAAACACCTGAGAAAAAAATGGGGCAAGGAGATGACGCTGGTGTAGGCATCTCTGGCCGAGGGCTGGCCATCGCCCGAGTGGAAGGGTGTGCTCGGGCTCCAGCGGCTTTCAGCGCTTCCGTCCCTTCACCCGGACTCACAGAAGAGCTGAAATCCCCATGTGAGCCACCCCCGAGGCCCTTGTCCAGGCTGGCCGGCCAGGGGACCGCTTTTGTCAGTACCATCCCTTCCTCCCTACTCCGCCAACTGCACACGATGCTGTTTGTGCAAAGTGACCTACAAACTGCAGGCGAGTGGAAATATTCAGAAGCCCTGACCTTTCCAATAATTAGAAAACCTTGCCAAAAGAATTCTTTGGATATTAACATACTGAGTTCATCTGTATTTTTCCTGATGAAAAAACAAACAAACAAACAAAACCAACCCCACAATAAAAAATGGTAGGGGCAGAGGGTAGGGACAAGCGGTGACGCCGTGGCCTGGCATCCAGGTTGGATTCCCAGCTGGAGGAGAGGAGTAGAAATAGATTTGCAGGGAGAAGACAGTGTGGACTGGGGGGTCTTCCACAGCTCTTTCATTTGGTGATAATATGGGGATGTGGAAACTAATAAATGAAAGCCATTTCACTTTTGGTTTGACACACTTTCAAACTCTGCGCACAGTAAAAAAGTCCTTCGGCCTTTCGGAAACCTGTGGGTTATGCGACACGGGAAATCCTTTGTGGGGGCTCCAGAGCAGGGGCACGCCTTCCTCCCCAGCTGCGGGCTTTATCACGTCAACTCTCAGACTTAGGGGGTGAACCAAAGCACCAGCTTTCAGGGGTTGCGGCTCTGTGGGGCACTGGGAGGCAGTAAATACATTTGGAACAGAAGACGGGGTCAGCAGCGAGCGCTGACGGCTTTTGCTTCCACTGCGAGGATACTGCTCACTGCCCCTGTGGGTGTAAAGTGACCCCGCCTGGCCGCGCTGTGAGAAACAGCAATGCTTTATATACTTAGACACCAGAGCAAGGAACAAAGTGCTCAGAAAACATGGAAAGGCCGTATGACTTTCTGTTTTTATGCTTTTTTTGGTTCACTTTTCATATAATTAAACTGTAATGGCTTCTGGGTTATTTAAAACTATATAGTTGATAAGGCTCAAAAAATTTTTTGTCCCCTTTCCTGAGTTTTTTTTTTTTTTTTGAGACTGAGTCTCACTATGCAGGTCAGGCTGGCCTTGAATTCACTACGTAGCCTGGGCTAGCCTTGATCCTCCTGCCTCAGCCTCCCAAGTGCTGGGATTATAGGCATGCACCACTATATTTGGCTCACTTATAGTTTTTAAAATTTATTTTCTTCCCAAGATTAAGTTTCTCTTTCTTTTCTTTTTTTTCAGACAGGGTTTCACTATGTAGTTCAGGCTGGCTCTGAACTCATTTTGTAGTCCAGGCTATCCTTGAACTCATGGCGATCCTCCTGCCTCAGCCTCCGGGAGTGCTGGATTACAGCAAGTGCCTTGATATTTTAATTTAAATTTTAGAATATGTTTAACATACTTAGTTACTTTTTACAGTTTTTTTCTCTTTTTTTGGTGCTGGAAATTAGAGATCGAATCCAGGATCTCATGCATGCTGTGCGTGCCTTGTACATCCCAGGCCCTTTACTTCTAATTCTGACATGATTTTACACTTACATTTTTTTTATATGTGCATGTTTGCATTATATGATATTAACACTCCTTATGTGGAATCGGTACATGTATATAACACAGTTTCATTCCTTTTTCATCCTCTTCCTCTCTCTCCTTCTCCCCTCTCCCCTCCATCTCTTGATCACCCCTTTTAAAAGACATCTACCTTCCTACTGCCTATTATCTATTTTTTGTTTTTTCTTTATTTATAGTTTAGATTTCTCATATAACAGAAACCATGCAATATTTAAGCGTGTGTGTCTGATTTATTTCACTTAATGTTATGGTCTCAAGGGGTCCCTACTTTCCTAAAAATGACTCAAGTTTATCCTTTTTGTGGCAGAGTAGTACTCCATTGTATGTCAACAACAACTTTTCTTTATTCACTCATCTGCTGATGGACATATAAGCTGCTTCCAAGACACATGAATTGTGCTGCTGTGAACACAGGTATACAGGTATCACTGCAATGATTTGACAAATGTTATTTTAAATTCAAGGTAAAAGAGGAATAACACTCAAAAGAACTTTCAAGATACCTTTCCTCAGAATTATCAGTTGATACCATTTGATTACATTTACTTCATCACTATTTATTTCGGAACATACATTAGTATTTTCTTTTACATTTTTTAAACTCAGGACCCTGTACTTGCAAGACAGGGGTAGTGCCACTGGGCTAAATCCCCGGCCCTAGTGTTTTATTTTGAACTATGTGAGCAGAGTAAGTCTGACACAGGCACCTCTTTACCACTAAACCCTCAGTTTGAATTTTCTAAGTACAAGCATACCCTTTCAGGCCATGCAGTGTAATCTCCAAAGTTGGGAAACTCAGATAAAACACTACAGTGTACAGCCACATGTAAATTGTGCCAAAAAATTTCGAATGAGCCTACATGCCTACAGTATAAAATACATCAAATTAACCATGTCCTGGAGCAGTGCTGAGTTGTTCTACCCAGAGGAAAATTCATGTTGGAAGTATTTTCCAACCTAATATTTTTCTTTTATTTTGGACACTGTGAATAAACCACTGAAATAATTAAGACAAAGTTAAAAAAGGAAAAACAAATTAGAATACCCTTTGGGAGTTAACAGGAATGTTACATTTATCAGTTTTTTTAGCTAAAATACAATATGACTATAGAGAAAAAGAACAAATTTCCTCAGTTTCATATAGTCACAATTTAATAAAATTAAACAGGCATGTTTAAAGAAAAACTGTATTAACCATTTTTCACATGTATTACAATAGTTTTCTACCTTAGCAGAATATTTTGAGCATCATCAAAGTTGGGGGATAAAACTGAGCTGCAGTGAGGTTTTTGGATCCAGACTAAAGAACTGTCATACCCAAAAAGTCACAAATTAAAAAATGGGAAAAGGGTCTGAACAGGTATTTCTTCAAAAGAGATGTACAGCCAATTAACACACGAAAAGATGCTCAACATCACTAGCTGTGGGGAAAAATGGACACAG